AATTAAATAAAAAAATTATAAATGAAAAATTAAAACTCTGTTTTTCTTCAGCAGCTGATTCATCATTGTGGTTTCTCACCCTACTACAATACTTTAACCCTTTGAGAGTGAAGAAGTGAAAGTGAAATATCTAACATTTAGTAGAGATTGTTACAAATGTCATGACCTTACCCAAAAGGTATCTATGCTCCGATTTTAACACAAAGTATTAAGAAAAGGGTGAAATTTTACACCTAACAAGCCCAAATGGAATAAAGCCATGTGGTTCAACGACACACAAAGGTGGTCACAGACTTCTGCTGGAACATACTACAGGAACATCTGTGATCTACCACCCATCTTTCTGGAAGCTCACACAGCTATCACTCATAGCATCTGTAACACTAGATCTGAATTTTACCGTCCTTCATGTAACAGCATATTTTTAGCTGCTTTTTAACTGATTCTTTAAGGGCCAATTTCTGGAAATAGTCTCCCAACTAAAAGAAAAACCTGTAACTATTACACAGATATTAACTCCCTTGGTGTATTGACAAGCAAGACCGACCAACACCTTCCACAGCACTTTTGCCAAGGAAGTTAGCTGTTTTTCCTGTTGCACCAGCACTTTCTCCAGTGCTTTAGTTCAGCTCACCTGCCATGCTGGACATGTTAACCAGCCTCCCCTGGGATTTCCGGAGTAACGGTAAGAAGGTCTTGGACACTTCTACAGCCCCAAAGAAATTCACCTCCATGCACATCCTGTACGTACTCATGGGGAGCAGCTCCCCGTCGCCAGGGAAGCCCAGGACACCTGCATTGTTCACAACTCCCCAGAGTCCTGTAAAGAAGAAAAAGCAAAAGGCTGCTAACAGCATGAAATCAACTCCACAAAGATTGGCCTTATGAAAGCAGTGAGGATCTGCAGCTACAGACACACAGTACCAACTCCATGAACATGTATCACCATTTTTCATGTGGCTCAGAAAGCAGGAGTCATTGATATAAATACCCTGGACTGCCCACAGATGGTGGTATGGAGATGACCTACACACAAAAGCGATGATTCACCCAAAAGTTAAGAGATGCACCTTGTAAGCAGCTACATTAGTACTCTTGTTATAATGGGAAAAATAGCTGTTACCTGTATTTTGCACCTTCTCCGAGACTTTTAGAAAGGCTTCCTTGACTTGTTTGGTATTGGTTACATCCAGCTGCAGGAGAGAAAGTCTCCGAGAACAGGTCCGTCTCAGTTCCTTAGCTCCAGGTCCATCCTTATTCAAAACCCCAGCAAACACTACAAAGCCTAAGCTATCCAGGTATTTTGCCAGTGCATGTCCAATCCCAGTGTCGCTTCCTGAAAGCACCAAAAAGACTTAAAAAGTAGGTCTGTTCTAAACCATCATTAAAGGCACAAACATGCAAATGTAACGTGTAATGGAAATACATGCAAATGTAACCAAAAGGATGATGAAATCAAGTCACTAAATACATATGACAGTAGGAAGAAAAGTTCAGATATGAAGTTTTGAAAAGCTGGACCTTTGCATGTTCCACAAGGCTTGAAAGACCATGTGGTCTTTCTCTCCTGGTGTCTTTTTTAATTCCAATTTCCATTCTTATCACCTACAGAGAAACTTCTTAGCAAGGGAGGAAACATGCCACCATCTGCCCACCAAGACCCCAAATGAGGCAACACAGGGCTCTGCTAGAGAGAGGGAAGGTGTTTACAGGGTCAATGCTGCAGGAGTTTTGCAAAGGACAATGCCAGGAGGTAAATGAGAAGTTTAAGAAACTAATGCAGTTTTCACACTGTAAAGCAGAGACACATCAGCATGTACCATGATAACTGTGCTGCACCTTCCACTCTAACTGTGGCAGAGCAAGCTCCTGGATGCTGATGTGCACTGGGATCCATGGAGCGATCCCAGGGCTTGGTTATCTCCTGCAATAGCAATTTATAACATAAATGCTTGGCTTCCAAACCCACATGGCTGGAAACTCGAATGCAGGATGAAGGGCTGGGACTCCTACCAGTCTTTTCACTATTTCCTCGTTTGTGAAAGAGCTGTGGTACTCCTTACTTCACCCTACCATAAACCTATCAGGGTTAATCTGACTTTGACACACTGAGGCAGATACTACCTTAGTTATTCACAGGCCTGCTCCTGCACTCAAAATCCACAGTCAACAGAATCTGACTGCCAAAGACACTCATCTTAATCATGCTAGATCTTAATTTCTGTCTTTTAGCTGGGGCTCCAGTCCCAAAAGGTGAAAATAATTAATTTCAGGTGAAAGAAGTACAAACTAAATGTCTGGATTAGTCAGCGCAAGATGTTGAAAAGAATTTCTTGTTCTCTTCTTAATTATTTAAAGAAAAAAAAGTGCTTTTCAGTATTTTTTAAATCTGCAGTTTGTTGAAGATGTACCAGAGCACCACATATATCACACGAAGCTTCTTGCAGCCCTGACCAAAAAGAGAAGAAAAAATCTGCATTCTTGGAATTCCCTAAAGAGACATGAAGAGGCCTGCAAATATCCCAAAGACATATCAGATTTCTGGGTTTGGGGGTGGGGTGTCTTTCCCTTTTGTTCTTTTAGTAAAAAACCCTATTTCTAGATCAAATCCTTCTCCTTTCATCCTTCCCAGCAAGTACACAGCCACAGATACAGATATTACTTAGGTTTTACAACACAGCTTTAACTTGTTGATCACTCTGCCACTTCCCAACTAGGGATGGGTGTAGCAACCCCAAGAAGGAAATAAGAAGCAGTGTTTATCTGGGCCTGCCAGCAGGTTTGTCCCCAGCTTTTATCAAAACAAGTCTGATTTAAATTTCAGACCTGTTATTGACATCCAGAGAAACATTACCCTTCAACTCAAAAAATTCAAACAGTTGTTAATCTGCTACAGGGAAGAAAGAGAGAATTCCCTCCTCCCCATTTGTATGTCAAAACCAAAACTGTGTGAATGATCAAAAGATTTATTATAGGAAAGGCAGTCACTACTGTCTGTAACTGAACCATTACTGAGCATTTATCATAGGCTCACACTAAGCATCAAGTCTCACATCAAGAATGAGAAGACCAAGTTAACTGGAGAAACTCATCCTACTGCACACAGCATAACTGAGGAAAGAATTCCACAATTCCTACTAATTTGGATCTTCATGGGAACCTAATCTTTTACAGAAACTGGCTATCGGATCTACCAAACTACACTAATGTGCTTGCATGCCCAGGAGCTTCTGTTTAAGGACACTGAAGTGCTCACTCCCAGGAAGAGGATCAATACAAATGTTTCACCAGTCACTTAAAGCAGGCTTTAAGACCGCTCAGATGCCCACAGTTATTCATGTGAAAAAGCATTTTGACAACTGGACACAGTTTTCCCTTCCCATGGTACTCTGGTGAACTGTCAGCTTAAATAAATAACACAGAGCAGCACCTGTACAAGAGACATCTAAAGAGGGCCAGAACAATATCTGACAAAACCCAGGGAGATAAACACAGAGATCATTACTCCATCCTTTGGCAGCTACCTCACCAGTGATATGTGGTAGCTACCCAGAACACAGCAGCATTCCTCAACCCGAAGGGCTGAAAGGGGTGGTGGTGGCAGTATAAATAAATAAATAGAATCACCATTTCCCATGAAGTGCCTGCCTCAGGTCTTTTTTAAATTGCAGAAACTGACATCAAAAATTGATTTAAAGGCACCTTACACCTGCAAAACATCCAGTAGTCGGTATGGAGAGAAGTACTAAAATCAAAACAATTTAACCAAGAAATGTGTTGAGCAAAACTTCCATTCCAGTTGATGGAGGGTTTGATTGATTGCATACCAGTCTGGATTCAAAGAAAGATCAAGAAGAGCCTCCTCAGATGTGTCAGCTGTCGGAGGTGTCCAAACTTGCATTTCCTCAGGACACTTACAGCACAGGTACAGAGAAAGCACAATCACTTGCTGGAATATCCCCAACTATTCTTCACTTCCCTATATTGCTCTAATTCATATTCTCTAGGGCTGGTAAGCTCAGAGAGTGCTTTTCCCTGAAGAACTGCAGTCTTACAAAAAGCAAGGAGATGCCCAAATACAAGCACAACCCCTGTGTCTGCAATGGTGGGAAAAGAGGGCCCCCCCGCCCAATATCCATCTTCATCTGATGCACCTCCAGGGAGAAACCCAGCTGTGAGGGGAGAACTTACCTTGTTCTCTCTTAACTTTTGTATTTCACCCCCATATTAATGCTTGCTAGGCAAATCTAAGTAATTTTCAGGCATCCCTATAAAACAAAATGATATTCTGCAAGAAATAGCTATATAAACTAAAGCAACTTCATTCAGCTTTCCAGAGGAGAAAAACAGAAAATAAAACAAAAGATAAAAAAAAGAGCAAGTTAACAATACAAGAAGCAGTTGGCAAGCACTCCAGTTTAAAGGTTTGATTAACACAAATAAACAACATCTAAAGTTTTAGAAGAAGCGGGAGAAAAGCCATAAAGCCACAAAAATGCCATCCTTGCAAAATAAAAGTGAGGTTTGTGTAGATCAGAGTGTTAACAGAGACTCAATTAATTAGCTCTGAACTTTCTCTGCTAATGAAGGAAATTACTCGGTGTCGAATGATTTCATACATCATTTCAAAGAGATGTCACCAAACTACTGTCTTGGAAATACATGCAGAATAGACACAGCATGTACTGTCTAAATGCGCATACCAAAAGATAACCAAACATCCATAATCAGTACAATAAATTCTAGTAAACACAAGTAATGTATGAATATCGTGTTCTGAGGGCTCCCAGAAGTTAATGTCTCTCTCAAAAAACTAGAAAACCATAAGCATTCTTCTGCTTTTTGCACTGGTTAATTTCACAACTACGTCTAAAAAGCTACTTGTAAAGATTAAATGAGACACTAAAAAATAATGGCATCTATTAAAATGCTTTTCTATTTAATTTCAGAACACTTATTTACAAAAAAAAAAAATAATAATCTCAGGCAAAGCAAATAAAATGAGCAAAAAAACCCCAAACAATGAAAGGAAACCTTACGAGCATGCATTTCATAGATACCTAATCCAAGGACACAAAGTTTTCCAGACCACTTGTGAGAAAAGCCAGTTTTTGCTTCCCGAAGCACGCCTGCAGCACCCTACCTGTAATAAGCACAGCTTTGTCACCCACAGGCAGCAGCACCGTGCTACTCAGGTACATGGAGGAGACGAGGCACGAGGCACAGAACACCACCAGCCCCTCACCAGTGCCCAGCATGGCCACGCACAGCAGCCCCAGCAAGGCAGGCAGGAGGCTCCAGACCAGTATATTTTCTTTACCCACTGGGCTCCTCTTGGCTGTGCAGAGCACAGTCACCCCAAAAAGCGCAGTGATGCCCACGGAGAGCCATCCAAGGGGGTTGTCAGCAAGAGCATCCATAGCAAGGGTGAGAAGCAGGCACACACACACCCCACCACCGGCTGGGTAAAAGCAGGTATTGCTAAATGCAGCATGTGTTATATACAGGCAGGGGGTGGGGCAGAGAAAGGGGACTCTGTTTAAAGGTTTGACATAATCTCACTTACCCTTGGCATCAGAAAGAAAGCAGAAGCCTTCCTTTTCTTACCTTTTATTCCTTCTGCCTGACAGCTCCACCTTCTGAACACTATGCTGACTGGATAATGATTGACAGCACTGGGAACAGACATGATGTAGCAAGTGCTGGCTTCAGGAAAAAATTAACTGCTATATGTTTTATAAGTTTAAAGTACATTTTCCTAGACGTGGAAAAATATAACAGTTTCCTTTACAGCAAACGGTTGGAATTTCCTGCCTAAAAACTTAGTGTATTTTCAGTGGAACTGATTTCTGATGGGCAGTGATAAAAACGAGTCAGGACAGGGTTATTTACTGTCTGTAGTGCAAACTACGTGGTTAGAATTGTGCTTTATCACGTATGGGCCACCCTCCCTTACAACAAAAAGCCCAAAATAACATTCATAGCTTTAGCATGCACCTTCGGCTAGTCATCTACTCCCCATTCAGCAAATATCTATAGTTAATTGACATTCAAGGCAGTCTGGGAGGCTGGGAAGGGGTTGTTGCTGGTTTGCCATTAAGAGCACTCCATCAAGTGAATACATGTAACACACCTGAGATAGAATCTTCAGTTTGTCTCCAGCAATGACATCCACCTTAGTTTTGACAGGAATCACTGGTTCAATACCCACTGCAAGTTGGATTAAAAAATGTGATCAATTGAATACATTTGAGAGATTTAACACCTCCTGTGGTGTACTCTGAAAGTCACTTGAGCAATAAGAAAATTTTAAAGTCTATCCAGCTAAAAGGATTGAAATACAACTTGAGCATATTTAACCTTGTTTTAAAATCTCAGCCGATTGTATTGGGGGATGAGCCTAAGTCATCACACAGCCAGCTAACATGATATAGCTGGTTTTCCAAAACAAAATGTAATGCTGACCTATTTTACTTTAGGCACTGGAAGATTGAAGTACAGGGTGCAAATCTAACATGAGACACAAGCACATTTCCATTCCATAATTCTTTTAGGGTTTTATGGGATGACAGATCCGTTGAATATAAATTTTTACAGCCAGTGAAAATGATCACATACCTCTATAGGTAGTTTACATTAGAGATGAGGTCAGTTTCTTAAAGGGACATTACCCTTGAGGTCTGATGTCTTTCATTGCTATTGTGAACACTCATTCATCCATCCTGCCACTAGTGCACAAAATATAAATTATTTTCACTTCTCTGCCATTTGCTACTTCTGCTTTTAATGGCACACTGGTCTCCAGGTCAATTATGCCTTGCCCCCTCTTAAAGCTTCTCCTTACAGATTTCCTTGGAGAATTTTGCTTCCTCTACCTCAGTTGTCACATTATTTGGATGATTGCAGATGTGCTGGCATTTAAAGCATCCGCTCTCATGCTTGAGGATACAGCCAGCTGGAGTTTCTGCATAGTGGGATAAAGGGCAGAAGTGACCACCTCCAGTCTGATGCCCACCCTGGCTCCCCTCAGTCTGTGGGGAGCAGACAGAGGTGGGCAAGGGGCCAAGCTATGGTGACCACCATGCCTGGTCCCTGCAGAGCAGCCTCTGAGTGAGTCTTCCCCTCTGCTCTGTGCTCCCCTGCCACGTGCCCCACTGAAATGCGTATGTGCACGTGTACATGTTCTCCCTCACACACTGCACTGGAGGTCTGGGTGAATGTATGGACTGCTGAGGATGCCATCTGCACCCACAGTGCTGTAGAACAACCATGGGAAGGACTGGTGGGGACTGATCTCTGCCTGAATTAATGTTGAATTTATATTTTTAATATAAAATATAACCATTGAAGGCTTCTTTTAATGAAAAGCTGACCATGCGTTCACACTGGTGCGTGAACAAAATTACATGTAAGTGCATACACACCATGAGATGGGTTGCTATCAGATGGGTATAATCTAAAACTGGCTGAGAAACGTTAACTTGCAGTACCCACCTCATGAACTCCCCCATGAACCAGTGGTGACAGATTGCTGCTTGAGGATTTTTCGGCACAATTTCGCAATGAGTTAAGTTTTATCACCATATGCCCAGTATCCATCTTAAGAAAGCATCTACTTTCCTCTCTACCACTTTGGGATGTCTCCAGTTCTAACAGCTGTACATTAACACGAGATTGTGATTGAGTTTGTGTTAATTCCTATTTCTCTATGCCATGTCTACTTATGCTATGAATATACACCCTCTCTCACACTTCTTGATAGTTTTGCTGGGAAAGATGTGGCCTTTCCAAATTATCAGGATGTTGCATCAACATGACATCTGTGTTACAAGGAGGATGGATTTGAGCTAATTCATTTTCAGCTGAGCTTAACCTACCTTTGCCAGGACATTTGCCTGTCTTCCCAGCTTTTCAGAGCCATCACACAATAACTCAAGTGCCCTGTCCCTTTATGCCTTGGCAATCTGTATAATCTATACTGAAGCCTGAATATTGCTTCTGTAGTCAGTCCATGCCAATGCCAAACAGCAGCAGATAAACAATTCAGACCAGCCTCCTGGCTGAACTATTCCATTGTACCCTCACTTCAATCCCTGTTTCTGATGTTTCTAACCGGGACTTTGCAGATCTCAAGTGTGCCCCATGACACAAGTCTCTTCATGATAACTATGGAAGGACAATTAAAGCAATGGCAAAAGAAGATGCCTTTCATGGAGAATGATCCTTCCATGGTTATCTGCAACATGAACAGCTAGTCTCTACAGAATGTCTTGAGTCCAAATCCAGCTTTTTTCCCCCCAAAGTTTACAGTCACAGCATCTTTCACCCTGTGTAGTATCACTTTCCCAGGAAAGCAGAAAGTAGAAGACTTTCCCCAGGAAAAAGCAAGAATACCTCTCCAATGTGTGGAATCTTTTTTGTAGGCATCCACTCATTGACTCCACATTATCATTCTTTAGGAACAATCACTTCTTCCCAGATATTAATTTACTTCCTTCTCATTTCTTTAAGCTCTTTGCTGTCATCCTTTGCTGGCTCTGTATTTTTCAACATGATAGTTACAGCCTGTGCTTTCAATTTCTGTTCTTACCACAAAAATGGGCAAAATGTTCAGGTTCCCCTGTTCCTTTTTTAAAGTGGGGAAGCTGAGCCTGTTCACAACTTCCTTGAACTGCAGTGCCAAGCTCTTTTTCTGTTCTAGTATTACCCTGGTAATAAGCACTCTTCTGTCTTGTCATAGCTTCATTTCTGGTTCAGAAGTTTTCCTGCTGTTTATTTCTTTAAAGCCTCTGTGATGTTCCAGCATAGTAGAAGCTTTCAGTTGAACCACGAGGCCTTCAGAATGTTTCTGTTACCTTTCCCTGCATTGTTTTTCACCTCTTTGGCCACATTTCTTATGTGCTTCCTTTGCACTTTCCACTAATTTGCTAGTCAACATGTTTCCTTTCAGCACTTTCCCTTCATCCCAAAGTACCACATACCATTCCCTGTACTTGCTGTCTGTTGATATTCTTCTGTCCTAGTTGCAACATAAATTACATTCTTTAGAAGCATGAACCATTATTTCTACATGTCCAATCTCTATCTCAGCTTCCTCTGTCTCTGCCAGTCACAGATTTGTTTTTCAGTTCAGGCTAGAATTTACCACAGAACTCTTTAGTTTTCCATTTTATTCTATTTTGTTTGCTGATTCAGGTTTTTTTAACCACTCCTGATTGTCCCTGCTCCATGTGCTTCATGTGCTTTTGTGGCTTGGGTAAGGGATTTGCATTTTGAGCCCTGCAGGCAGGTTCCTGGCTACAAGACTTTTCTTGGAAAACAATTTCAGCAGAAAATAGGTTGGAATCTGTTTCAACAAATGAGTCATTAGCAAGACCAGAAAAATTATTCTCCTCATTAAATATGTATATGAGCAGAAAAAATACAAAATCATTTGTTTGGTTGACTGCATCTTCTGAGAGTACATAAACATTTTCTTACATTTGGATTTTTCTGGACTTGATAGTTACACAAGCACTTTTCAGACTATGAGAAGTCCTGGATGCAAAAACTATTGAACTTGCATACACAAAACTCATTTGGGCAAACAGACTTTGCTCTTACAAATACTACTGAACTGCTATACAAAGGTTGAGATAATCCTTTTCTTTCAGCCAGTTATCTATTCATGCACTCAACTTGAAGCACATGAATTATCCAGTAAAGGCAGCAAAACTATTAGTCTGCCTAAAGCTAGGAATGTAGCCAAGTACCTTGTGAATTAAGATCTCTGAACTCACAGGCATGAATAAGGGCAAAAAAGTTCATATGTAACTGAAAATAAGGCTGTGTAACCTCTCCTTTATGTTCAAACTATTTCTTTAATACACCCTTTGGGAAACTAATTCCTGTCAAATAAAGTATGTACCCATTAAAGAAAAGTAAAAAATACATTTTACTTCCAAGTTAATGGAGATTTTGTTTTTAGAAATACAGTGATTGTAAAGATTGTAAATTCAAAGATAGTAATTCCTGGAGATCTTCACTTTGCATTGAAGAAACAGCCATAGCTCACGATTTCTCAATATTCTAACAATTATAACAAAATATAGTAATATTAGTAATAATTACTTCCTCAGCTAAATCTCTTGTTACTTTTCAAGCGTAAAAACCTCAGACTGAGGAACTTCTGTACTGATGGCCAAACTGGGCTTGTAAATACTTTTGTCAGGGACACATGCAACATACATCTTGGCATTATACAATCTTCAAAAGAAATAATTGCAGCCTGCATTTCCATTGTGAATCCAATGTCTGCAGCAGCTCTATCTTTGCTTTGAAGCAGTAGGTCTTGTAATAACATGCCATATGAAATGAAGCCATAGGCTTGTAAGTTTTCCTTGTTATTTCCATGAACCCTAATCACCCTTTTTAAATTTTC